TTCGCCAGCTCCCTCGAGGGGGAACCCCTCGTGACGCTGTTCCGGCTCGGGATGACTTTCCATCAGTCCACGGAGCTCCCAGACACCGCCGACCTCGACTGGAAGGAGACAGTCATCCGGTGTCTAGAGAGTCTCCGATCCGGAACCCCTCTGCCAGCCATTCCTCAGTCAAGACCGCAGACCGCGACTCTCTCCAGCCCGCCGGCCGTTCCCGAGTCAAGTCAGCCGGCTGCACCTGTGGCAAGCCCGCCGGCGGTTCCTCAGTCTAGCCTGCCAGCCCCAGAGCTCGCTCCACAGTGTTTATGCCCATATTTGGTTAGTTTCCTGTTCCTGTCCTGATTATGTTGATTTAATCCCAGGTGTTCCCAGTTTGTTTTCATTGATCCCAGGTGTGTCTCGTCATCCCCTCATCTTGTCATGTGTTTAAATAGTGTTCCCTGTCTTAATTAAACCCATTTGGATTGATGTACTCCTCGTCTCTCTCCGTTCCTTGCTCCTCACTCCACTCAGCAATGCACTCGTGACAATAAGAAACAGTATTTTTATTTATTTTTTTGTCACATGGCCTCGCATGTATCTAAATGTAAAACTACAATACATGTAATTTTTTATTTTTTTTGTCCGGACCTTTGCTTGGAAGAAAATATAGAGGCCGTGCCTCTTGGAAATTAAATAGAATACCCCTGACTTATATCATAAAGAAATACTTTATTTGTATGGTTTTGTAATATCTGTGTCAAATATTTCCTTGTGTCATGGTAGATCGGACTCTTATTATAGAATTTAATTACAGAAAACTGTTTTGAACATGGTAATGGATTAAAACATATAAGTAACAGGCTGGATGTACATTAACCTTACATCTTAACACCTCTTTTTTTACAAAGCAGATCATAGATTATATATTTTGTCTATAGCCATAAAACAGCTTCGTAATTAGGAAGATTTCAATACATGAAGATTCTGAATGGGATTTTTTAGCAAGCCATTAAATGACTTGAGACTCGACTCTGACTCGTGACCAAAGACTCGAGACTTGACTCAGACTCCAGCGACAAAGCCATTAAATGACTTGATACTCGACTCGGACTCGTGACCAAAGACTCGAGACTTGACTCAGACTCCAGCGACAAAGACTTCAGACTTGACTCGGACTCCAGGTTAAAGACTTCAGACTTGACTCGGACTCCAAGTTAAAGACTTGTGAACTTCTCTGCTTTGAACAGTAGTGTATGAACATCTTTACATCTAGAGAAGGCCACCACTCTAAAGCAAGACACATTTTAGCAGCTCCATCCATGTGAGACAAACGGACAACGCAAAAACGGAAAAAGTACATTAATATACAGTATATACATTTTATATGTAACTTATGATATAGATTATGTGTTAGACTGTATTTAAATACATTACACTGTTCTCCAAACTACTTGGCGGAAGCAAAACATTTACCCAACTTTGTTTCCTTAGAACAGGGCTCACCAAACTTGGTCCTGGAGGGCCGGTGTCCTGCAGAGTTTAGCTGCAACTTGCCTCAACACACCTGCCTGGAAAATTCAAGCATACCCAGTAAGACCTTGATTAGCTGGTTCAGATGTGTTTGATTAGGGTTGGAGCTAAACTCTGCAGGGCACCGGCCCTTCAGGACCGAGTTTGGTGACCCCTGCCTTAAAACTTTAAAATTGTGTTTTTTTCCCATTCTCTTTTTTAACGATTAGGACATTATTAATACACATTCAGAAACTTGAGAGGGTTTTGATTAATTTCCCCCATCCCTGAGCACTACACTATATTAGTTTTGAGATAATCAAAGGAAATGCAGACTTGAGCCCGTATTCTTTGCAGGTCCCACAATTACCCTGATATGCAAGAGCAACATGAGAAGAGAACAAAGATTATACCATGTCTACTAAAAACAAAAAAAACTAACAAAAAACAAAAAGAATATATTTTTTATATATATATTAAAATACAAATCTTTTTGTGCTCAACAATAGAAGGAAACTCATTTGTTGTATTAGAGTGAGTAAATGATGACAGAATTTTCATTTTTGGGTTAACTATCACTTTAAAGTAATCTTGTGGCCCCCTTGAAGCTACTGGCTTACCAACTGAACCATTTTTTTTTTCCCCAGTAGAGATCATTAAAAAATGGTTTATTTAAGGGAAAAAAAGCACTACTTGAAATTAGGCTGTCATAACTTACTTGTTTAATGGAAAAGAGTATTTTTTTCCAAGTAAAGAGGTACCTGAAACATGAACAAGTTTTAGATTTCTATCATAGCATCCTTTGTGAACTTTTGTGTTCAGTGGACAAAACATAAAAAATCTGATTTTCCACAAATGTTGAATAGGGAAAAAGCATGGGCTGTGAAAAGGACACGTGACCAAAAACCTTCACAGCATTTTGAGCAGAGTGCACCACTAACCCTACAACCTCATTTTCATTTGCATCAAATTAAATGTGCCATTTACTGTGACAAAAATCTAAATTTTGCCCATTGGAGGAGCCCTTCCTCGATTGTGTTTATAATGACATCCATAAAATGCTGTTAAAGACTGTAATGATAATCTCACCTTGAGGAATGACAGGTTGCGGTTTCTTTCAATACTGGTGATCTCCAGATTTCCCATGACCACCTCACAGTTTTCGTAGAACTTGCGAAGAGTTTTGTACTGCTGGTCCAAATCCGACAGCGTGCTGAGCTTGTTATCAGTGCCAGGACACACTATAGAGGAGAAAAAGAGAGAGAAATAAAACAGGTAAAGATAAAAAAAATTAAAAGATGTGTCAAATCAAATAATTCCTTAATAATGTGGTATTATTTCTTGCATAAATAACAAGCTTTGAATAACTACAGCTATGAAAGCCAACAACAATTAGGAGGATGGGTGAGAATTAAAAAAAAAAAAAAAGAAGGAAAACCACTGGAAACCTTCCAAGGCAGTATTAGCTTCTCTAAACAATGTGTGCAGTGTCCTTAGGCCACAATCATAAATCTTTTTCTTCATATGGACGCTTCAGTATCGCACACATTGTGTTAAAAGACACAGGTCATTACTTCAAGAAAGCAATTAGCAAAATTATTGAGCGAAAGTTCATGTGCGTTTACGCTTCCACTGACCTGCTTTTGCAACACTAAACATCTGCCATCCTCAACAACCAGATAAAAGAAGCATTTTCCACTTTTTCAATTAAAAAAAGCCTGTGTGCCTGGCAACAGTGTTAATGTCAGCTTCTCTTTATTTTTGCCCAGCTGAGCACTGAGGGCTGTATGGCAGGTTTTAATGAAGTATTTGGTGAGTGATTGTTCCACTGATCCCAGAGACTAATCCTTGCTTGGAATCTCGGCGATGCCAGGCTTCATACGGGCATCTCAACTCATTGTTTCTTTGTTTCAGGTTGGAGTGACCCAGTAGGATTCAATCATAGGATAATCTGAAGGATATTGCATGGGATTTCATGCACCTTTTTGGCAAAGGTAAAGAACAGTGTAAAACTGGAAGATACAACAGACTTTACAAGCTTTGGATGATGCAAGAACAGTTTAGAGCCTACAACTAACTGCACTGGTTAAACAACATTGTACCATTTTTTGTCATATGAATAGTTTCCCAGTTTTGTGCCATTATTTCTTCTTTTAAGCTGAGGGGTGTATATTTAATATATAACTCATGCCTAAAGGAAACATGAAATAGTGTTTGCAAATAATTTAACGGTATTCCATATAGGGGTGGATAAGATATGTGCCTCGTCTATTTTTGAAGGTAAGAGTGTGCGCACAAATATGCTCTAGAACCGCTCTCTTACTTTGATGTCATACACCGATCAGTCTGCGCAGCGCTGCTTCAAGTCGAACACACCTATTGGGTTTGTGGTGGTGTTGTTGTTGTGTAGGGAACATAAATCATCCATACGTCATCATGTCGCTATATCACTGATATCGTGATATGACACTTTTTTTTAATGTAAAAATTTATACCGGTATTATCGTGGATGGTATGATATAGCACACCCCTAATTCCATATAAAGCAGAATATTCTTTGGAAGATAAAATAGTACATGACTTATAGTACACTAACTGCATTGTGGGAATTTCTCATATTTAATGAAATATTAGAAATAACTTTCTTTAGAGTAACCCACATTGATGAATTGTGCACAGTAGGAACGAGGGAGTTTTGATTTCAATTTTGGTTACATTTTGGGTAGCACTTAATTTTATGGTCTTCTTCCTACTATGTAGTTATTATAGTAATTACAACAACTAAGTAATAACTAGGTACTAACCCTGAACCTACCCCTAAACCTAACCTTAACCATGTAGTTACCTTATACTACCCAGCACTTTCTTAGGTAGGTACACTGAACTGTAAAATAAAGTGATACCAAATTTTGATTCCAAAATGAATTTTAGAATGAATTTTAGAATTAATGTATGTATGTATGTATTTATTTTCTTCGAATTATTTTCACAATCATACTGGAGTGCACTCCAAAAATGATCTGCAGGTAAGAAGGAAATAAAAAATTAATAAATTAAATAAATGTGAATAATAAAATACAACTAGGTTAAAATAAAGTTTGTAGTAGTTTTGAAAGCTTGAAATATGAAGTTTTTCCAGTTTGAAGTAATTTGAATTAGGTTTGAAGTTTGCAGTTTGAAGGTTTTGAAGGCTGTGGGGTGGTTCCTATGCAGATGCTAGGGTATTCTGAGTGGTTGCTAGGGTGTTGCTATGTGGTTGGTAGGTTGTTCTTGAATGGTTGCCAGAGTGTTTCTATGCATTTGCTAGCACATATTATCACATTGCTAGCATGTTTCAGATAGTCTTTACTAGACAGACAGACAGACAGACAGACAGACAGATAGATAGATAGATAGATAGATAGATAGATAGATAGATAAATTCTGTAAAGCCGGGAACACACTACTCTCAGGCCGATTATGAATGTAATTTGGGCTCAGCCAGTGTTTTTAGTCTGTGTTTAAAGTCGTTTAGTGTGCAGTGTCTAAAGAATTTAAGGCCAGCTGTTACTAGTCATCCTCACAAAGATTATTTGCGACTAATGCCAGCGACTAACTGCACCTGTTTCCGAATATAAATGGCCTATTAATTTAAATAACGAATTAACAAATAATAATAATAATAATAATAAAAAAAATTACAAACATGACATTTCTGAATAAAATAATTTTATACACTTCAATTATATCTAATATATTTGAGAAAATATGATGAGGAAATACAGTGCCTTGAATAGGCAATCTTTGCACATTTACTGTAGAATAATGAAATTAAAATTACAATATACAATATTTTAAATAGACAGACAGACAGACAGACAGACAGACAGATAGATAGATAGATAGATAGATAGATAGATAGATAGATAAATTCTGTAAAGCCGGGAACACACTACTCTCAGGCCGATTATGAATGTAATTTGGGCTCAGCCAGTGTTTTTAGTCTGTGTTTAAAGTCGTTTAGTGTGCAGTGTCTAAAGAATTTAAGGCCAGCTGTTACTAGTCATCCTCACAAAGATTATTTGCGACTAATGCCAGCGACTAACTGCACCTGTTTCCGAATATAAATGGCCTATTAATTTAAATAACGAATTAACAAATAATAATAATAATAATAAAAAAAATTACAAACATGACATATGAATAAAATAATTTTATACACTTCAATTATATCTAATATATTTGAGAAAATATGATGAGGAAATACAGTGCCTTGAATAGGCAATCTTTGCACATTTACTGTAGAATAATGAAATTAAAATTACAATATACAAATAATATTTTAAATGACTTCTGTTTCAGAATAAATAAAGCAGTATTTAATTTTCTTTCTAACTGCTAACTCAGATTTTGTATGTGGACAGGCTGTAGCTACAGTATGTTGTATGTAGATGTTGTGACTTAAGTGATACAAGTTCATGTCTGTGTTTTGTATTTGTATTAGTTGAGCAGATGTGCATTATGACCTGGCATGAGGTCTTCTTTCTACACAGCTTCTAACTTTATAGTTCAAGTGGCCTATTGTAATCTGTAGCAGTATTTAGGGACTGGGGCTATTGTGAATGATTTTAGGTTATGTTGACAATGGGCATGTTTGTGACGGTGATGGAGATAGTAGTTTTACTATGTGTGTCTTTAACTGTGTTCTACGTTTTATTTTTCCATAGGATCAAAGAAAAGATTGAAATGACCTGAATACTGAGTCCTACTCCATCCGTTAGTTACTAGTGCCCGCTCACTTTTGCCCAGGCCTGACCAAAAATACAATTCTGCCTACGCCACTGGATAGAACTACTAGGGTTGCACAAAATCTGTTACTTGGTTAAAGGTAACTAGAAATATAAAATGCACTCTTTTGAGACGTTCAATGTATATTTCCAGGTTCTGTGTCGAACCAGTGGAGATCTATTGTTTTTGAGTGTGTGTGTGTGTGTGTGCTATTAGCAATGATTTCCAGGGACAGTGATGAGTCTTGACTGAAGGAGCTGTGAGGGCTAACAGGCACAGGAACAGACAGGCCCCTTTTAACCCTGGCAGAGGTGTCAGACTTGACATGCAATTAAATACACCTATTTCCACCCATCAAACACCTTCCTGGGTCCAGCCTGAACCATCTGCTACATCAGCTGGCCCATGCCTGCCGAGCACCACAAAGCCAATTATTGTAAATGTGTGTGAGTAGAAAATACATGTCCAATGATTCATGTGAGAATGCTTATGTGTGCTTGTGTGAAACACATGGCCATTAGTTTCCTTTGGCAGGAAATACTCACTTTTTCACTTCTGCATCAGTATTCATAATTCTCATGAATCAGTATTCAAGTCTCTCTTAACCATCTTTACATGTCATGTTTTTGAGGTTGTTGACCACAGTGAGAGATATGAAGAATATATATATATATATATATATATAGTCAAACCAAAAATTATTCAGACACCAGATATAACATTTTATATTTTTTACTAGTGGGTGCAGCACACTATAGCTCATTTATGTAAGTGAGGATAGCAAAATAAAGTAAACTGTGACATACTACACTCAACAATTTTTCATACAGTGGACTACCAGTAAAATTGATAAAAATCTGGGACAAAAAATTATTCAGACACTTTGACCTGACCATGTTTTGCTTAAGTGTTATCTGACATTATCAAGATGAATTTGTTCTGACACAGTTTAACTCTGAGTTCTTGTCATATTTTTTTTTTAACCATTTTCTAAACTACAGCGAATAAACTGATAATGATCATGTGTGAAATGTTGAAGGTGTCTGAATACATTTTGGTTTGACTGTATATATATTAGGGTTGGGCGATGTCTACCAAATTGGCATCGGATGATGTCTACAGTGAAACATCGTGATGGATGATGACATCGGGGCGCGGGGCGGGGAGGCGGGGTAAGGGGTGTGCCTGAAGCGTGAAACAAATAACGCCTATACTTACCCAACGATATAATTGCGAGAAAAAGTATTGAAATATATATTTTTTTATCCTCCCATTTCGTAGGCTATTTATTCCCTTTAGGGTTTCTGTAGTACACCATTTCCTTTCCGAACACGGAACTGGGATGCGGCGGATTGCGGGAGAGGGGGTGGTGGGGGGAGGAATCACGATGTCAGTTTAACATCGTGATGTCTGTCAGCCATCTGCGATGGACGATGGCATGGTCTATCGGCCAAACCCTAATATATATATTATA